TGAGTTGATGGGTCGATAGGTAGGGTCCAGGTATGGGAGCTGCCTCCCTGGTGTCGGTATCATTGGTGCTCAGCACGCAAAACAAGATCGACGGAAAACAAATCAAGGAAAAAAAATGTTATGTCAATTTCAATCAACCATTTCCATGACAGTCGTAAATATACCATTGATGAATATAATCACATGCTTAACATTGTTTTCCTTGCTAAAATGTGAATGTTGTAAGATAAGTCTCCACTTACGGTAGTTCTTATATTTCCAATGAAGTTCTCTAAATTTTTTCTGAAATTCATGGAACTGCCCATACATTATTGAAACTAATTCTTCAACATCTTCGAAAAATCCCCAAAAGTCCAGAATTTACTGATGATTTACGTGCTTTTCTGATGCTATTCGAATGAGCCGAAAGATCTCTGAATTTCTTTAAAGTTCTCTTGACTTCTCTGAATTTCTCAGTGTTTTATAAAAGTCCCCACTATTCTTCTGAAGTTAATTGAATTTAAATGAAGTTCCCGTAATTTTTTGAAGTGTTGAGCATACGCGAGCTGTAACTCAACTTTCTCCTAATTTCCAGGACTTTCCTGAGATTTTTGATACTTCCCTAAAATTCTCAATTTTTTTATAATGTTCGGGAGATTATCTTGGTGATCACATAACTAGTCAGACGATCCCGCAATGTTGCCGAAGTTTTCGGAACATTTCTGAAGTTCTCGGGATATACCATAATTCTTCGGAACTCCTGAAAGTTTCTGCACTCTTTCTAAAGATAAGATCTGTTGAGATCTGGGGCCTCCGTTAGCTCAATCGGTAATCTTAGATCCATAGGCCAACATTAGAGCCATTCCCTTATCTCGACTTCCCTGGGCATAGAAGTATGATTGTACTAGCCGCACAATTATACTAAAATCTGTTTCATTTAGAATTTGGCCGCACAAAATAGGTCATTTCTCCAAGGGGAAATAAAGTACAAAAACGCTAAAGGTATCATTTTGTAGGATTTTTATTTAGCTTTAAGGGGAAAATACAACAAAAATTATTCGTCAGCTTTTCGGATGAATTTTCGAACTTTTCGCGGAATCCCTCTCAACAGTAGTACCATAGAGGTAACTCTAAGACCAGAAGGTCCCGAAGAAACGTGCTCAACTTTTTGGCTCAGCTCTGGTACTATCTTCGATCCCAAGCTATTAGATGCACCCCTCGAAACATAGGAAAATCCACGAACCCCTCATTTGATCTGTCAAACTTTCAAAGCGAATCAAAACAAAAATAGTGTAGTACTAGAATTTCGACTAGGATGGGGTATTTAAAATCGTTAGTTTCCACCGGTTGGTAGTACTGTCAACCTCATCTACCATCCTTTTCCACCACTTCTCCGAATCATATGGTGTTTTGATTGTTTTGCCACATTTCTTCAATTTGCGCTTGATAATTGCCCAAAATTTTTCAATGGGACGAAAATCTGGACAATTCGGTGGATTGATACTTTTCTCAATAAAATCGACATTTTTCTGCTAATACCATTGTATGACATCGCGGCTGTAATGGCAGCTGGCTAAGTCAGGCCAGAACTTTACGGGACCTTCGCGTGATTGAATGAACGGCAAAATTATGTTCTGGAGACGCTCCTCCTTGTAAAGTTGTCCATTCATAGTCGCTCCAGTGATGAAAACCTTTGTTTTCCTTCCGCAACTGCAGATGCCTTGCCAAATCATCAACTTGCGAGCATCCTCTTTACGTTTGGCAAAGTAAAATTTTTGGCCCGGGATTTATTCAAAGTCCATTTTTACGTAAGTTTCATCGTCCATCAAAATGTGAATGTGCATAATTTTTTCACGACTGTCACGTTCCATCTTCGATAACTTTTGAACAAGTAGGGGACATGGATGTAATGTCGACATAAACGCCTCTAATTTGGGCCCATACATATATTCACCAATTTAATAAAATTTCTATAGCGACCAAAAATATCCATTAGTACCGTCCCAATGACGCGTTCATCTAGATAAAATTGATAAATACCAGATTTTTAGCGATTGGCTCAATCTTAGATCCATAGGCCAACATTAGAGCCATTTCCCTTATATGAATTTTGATGAAATTTTCACTACTAGATAAACGGAAAACGCTGTCAATAGTTTCTTGCTACGACAACTAGAGGCGCTACAGTAATTAAAAAAGAAGCGGCCAAATACTAACTGAAACGGACTTTAATGCAAAAATGGTACAGGCATCGAAAGCTCTCAATTAATAAATGTGGAAGTGAATCTAGAACACTTAGTTGAGAGCACGCAATAAGCTAATATGCGATATGCAATAAGCTTGAAATGCAAATAAAAAGAAGATCTGTTGAGGTCTCTTAAAAAATTGAATGTGTTGCACCTTTTAATTTTGTCGATCTTCTTAATGAAATCCCTTTATGAAGAGCTTTTTGAGTGTGTCGATTTATTTCCTTTTAATTCCGTTATAATTGCTTATCTTTTGACAGATACGCGTATTTCATCACACATCAGTGCCAAGTACTCAACATAACCAAGTACTTAACACAACGAAACCAATTTTTTTTTACTTTGTGAGGCAGGGATCTCGGAGACTATTCGATCAATTTTACTGATTCTTCTGTCCGTGATGTAAAATTTAATTATCTAAAATCTAACATAGGATATACCCACTTTTCGATTTTTTACGCGCATTTGAGTAGCGATTTTTTCAACAAAAAAAATTAAACTTTTTTTTTCGAACGCCGCCATTTTGGTAATTTCGCAGATTTTGAAAAAATCCCATTGTTAAATTTTAGATATGTCTGGTTGCAGGGCTGCCAACAGCAGAAAAAATAATATTTTGGGCTGAAATGTTTCGAATATAAAACTGAAATGTTGCTTAAAAACATGCTGAAAAAACAAAAATTCAAAAATATCCTGTTTCAGAGATTTCAGTTGCTTTGAAGTTATCGGAACTTTCTGAATATGATGAAACTACGAAAATTACCTAAACATATCTAATCTTTTTTGAAATCCCTTAGACTTTCTCTCGGAGATTTCAGAACTACTTAAAAATTCTTTCAATTTTCTTGAAATTAATGAAACTGCCTTGATGTTCTCTGATCTTCGTTGAAGTCCCAACATTTGTTTTCCTCTGTTCGAGACATAAAATCAGTGCGACCAATAATGTTATCTATTGTATATGAGAAATGATGAAGTATTCCGTTTTGATACAGTTGTCATCAGGGCTCTACATTTTCGAAGCTCTAAAATGAACTCGAGTTTTGTTTCTATGTTGTTGCTCTGCTCACCCCTTTCAATGAAACTAACGTCGATTTTCGAGTTGAAACGAAGCCTTTCAATCCCTTTCACTGTCACCTGTTCTGTAAATTTATTTAATATGCGTTAGGTCCCATTTTCGTTCCGTTTTATAAATAAATTAAACATATTAAGTGTAATCTTAATTCATGTGAAAAAGGCTTAAATCTATATTTTCAATATCTGTCATATGCGTCATGAATCCTCGGTTGATTTGTTTCATGAAAGACGAAACTATCAAAGTCGAGCTAGCAGTCTCTTCGTAGGATCGATTTTGTCTTCTGAAGCTGATCGCCCTGGTTGTCATTCATCGCAAGGAATTGATTCTAATTGAAAGGTCCCGCTGTTGATAACCTTCGACAAGTGAGAGCACCCTCCACAGGCGCCCTTTTGGTCAGTCAAAATTGGATTCCGTAGTAATAAAATAAAGCAATGACGCCGTTAATGACACAGCAAAAAATAAATTTTAATACTGCACTTCAATAATGTCGAAAATTTCATTAATTTTTAATGCCACAAAAATAAACAAATACAGTAAAAGCAGCGTAATGTCAGTTCATGCACTGTATTAATGATAATTTTGTCCTTTTGGGAAGTAATATTACACCATATTTTCAACACGATTGAAGTGCACCCACTTTGATGTGATACTAAAATTAATTTTTTGCTGTGTAGTCTTAACCACTTCAAACTAGGGAACAATGAATAGAATATTAGGAATGACATGGATGAAGACTAGCTCGACAGTGAGCATGCATAAGACCGTAAACGCGATGATCGATCCTCTTCATCGATTTTCTCTTTACATTACTACAGCTAAGCGAAATAATTTTCTGGAATTTGTTCAATGTAGTGCTGTAACAGGTTCTATTGGCTATCAAATGCAACAGCAAACGCGCCGAGAAGGCGTTTATCCAAGCGAATTATTAACAAAAAATAAAATCCTTGTTTCAAGATCATCATCGGTCCAGACAACCAGAGGACTTATCACTATTAACAAGGCATAAAAAGTATCATCGACTAAGATGACTAAGGAATCGGTGGTAGATCTTACATCGCGTAACGTATCACGAAAAGGTGATTTTCGCACGTTACGGGGCAAATTCTAAGCTGAAAGAAATTGATACAAAATTTCTCCCGTATAAATTTGGGCCAGTCTTCCTATGATCAACTCCTCAACACCACTCCACAGTAGCTGTTAAATATTTTTTTGTAACTTGTAAACACACCCTTAATTTTTTTGAATGTTTAACTTAGGAATGCAGAAATTTTACTAGCTGAGAAAACTACTATGAACGTTATAACCACAAAAATAGAAGACAAAACATCTATTTTGGGAATACCGATCAACCTGTGTGTTGGAGCCTGATTCCAGTTCCTAATTCTAGTAATCAGATCAGTTTTCAAAGTTCAACAATATGTGTCTCCACGTTAACTGCAAATTCCTCTGCAGTGATTCAGTTTCGACTTACGCGGAAGGATCACTGTTAACTGTTGGACATCTTTCCATATGAAAACCACCCTATCGTTTCGAATGGCAAGCTGCGCACAAGCAAGGAACGGGAACGCGGCAATGCGTATATCCCCAAACAAGTAGCCTCTACAAACGGAACACGAGGGAGCTCACTCTGGAGGCATACACACTGACGGGAAGACCGGGGGAGACGTCCCGAGTATATATATAAATACATCATCAATAACCAATTCACATTACAGTTCTTTTTCAAACGGTTCCGAGTCAATGTCACGGACGGGTGTTCTTGGTGGAGCAACTCTGTAGCGAGTGTTGTGTTGGTACTTATCGTCGCGGCTAGAGTTTCGATTCCCACCTCCTTCGGGACGTTGGGGGCAGTGAAGCTAGTTGGCTTAGTTGGCGAATGGCAATGCTAAAGTGAAGACAAGGAAAGTGCGATCAATTTTGATGCTAAGTGGAAACTATCAATAAGGCCACCTCTACTGGGAGGGCCAAGTGAAATTTTGAAGTAGTGGTGATTCCTTGAGATAATAACTTACCGGGAATAAAATGATAGATTAAGTTTCGAAGAACCAGTTCTATTATTTTCGGTGGATTAAAACAAGGCATTCAGAGGAGTGCCAAAAAAAAATGAAGTTACTGTCGGGATTGATTGGTGGACTAGTTCTGCTTAAAGTGGTATCAGCAACAAAGGTGGTGGATTCCAACGAGGATTTAGATGATTCGGTGGTTGTCGAAGGTGGGTGTTCTCTAAATCTGTACCAATTTAACTAACGGTGGTGACGGTTATGTAAATTTATTTTCGTGTGTTTTTTTGCATAAAAAAGATTAGAAAAGCTTGTTAGCATTACTCTTGACAAAAAAAAAACCTTTACTATCCATAAACGCATAACAGTCCCACTTGAATAGGGAATCAAGCAAAGATGTGCCGGTGATGCAATTATGTGCAGATTAGATATATTGAATCTATAAAGTTGATCATATTTCAATAACATCAATTCAAGCACTGCATATATAAATCATAAGTAATTCATATTTAATGATATAAATGCAGCTAAAATGCAAAATGGAAAATAAATTGTACCAGTTTTTAGTGTTTTTGGATGGTAATAAATCAAGAATTACTCAAGGTATAAGTGGGGCACTTGCGAGTAAATTGAACAACTTTGTACGGGGGTTGAAATCGCTCAAAAAGCATCTGCGTAGTTTATGAACAGCCCTAAAGTAAAACGCCCTGCCATGGGGTCCTTGATCTCCCGAAAAATTGTACTGCGCAAAATGTGATGAGGGGGATTTCCGCTACCGCTGCTGTTTCTCTTCCGCTCTCTTTGCGGTTGAGCGTTAAGCAGTGGTTGATGTTGAAGTGAGTTTTGCGGAAGACAAAATATTCGATTAGGAATAATTTCGGATTTTGCTGGTTCAAAATTTGAATTCAACTTTAGGCCCATCGTAAGCAGACCAATCAAAAAAATCGTGTGCTAGGAAGGCATCCAATGTTAATAATTGAATGCTGTACAAGTCCACGTTGCATTTATATATTGTTTGACAATCACAATGATCCAGATTTAGATATTTTTCAAAATTATAGTCGCTCAGCACTTTTGCGCCTTGGGCCATCCCTCAGACCCAGATACTTTGAGAAATGTTAGCCGTTTGAGGGATGCGGCATGATGTGAGCACACAGTTCGAAAAAATAGTGTAAATTTCTGAAACATATGATGCACAAAAATAGAGAGTCATATGTCATACAAGTTTACATTATACACATTTACACGTGACGGAATCCGTCTTTGACATAAAAGATGAGACGTAAACAAACATGTCATGTAATATTGAGTGCTCCGAGACTGAAAAATTCGTTGCTCGACGAAAAATACGTTTGATTGAGCTATGTTTCGAGTCTGTTATTACTCAAATTTATGTCGAAATTGACGCTCGTATATGTCACTCTCAGAGCACCTAAATTTACATGAACTTTTCCAAGTGTGTAGATCATGAGAAATTTCATGGAATAATCCAATTGTATGCAATTTTCCATCTTTGTACGCAACGTTTCTTGCAAGTTGCTGGTTTACGTGAAAAGAAATACAAGTTTACATGCATGGATGTTTACATCATCAGTAATGTGTAGGCTTAATAACTTATGAAGAATTATCTTGAAATCATATAAGTTTACATTATAAATCATGTAAACTTCTGACACATTTCATGAAAAGTTGCAAATATTGTATGCAGAAGCCCATCTTTGAAAACAACATTGCATACAAGTTGTTCCTTAGCGTGAAATGAAATACAAGTTTACGTCAATGAATGTTTACATCACAATTAAAATTCAGAATTTTTTGATGTGTGGAACTGCTCATTATCATCTTCTTCATTTTTTGTTTCCTATATTCATGCTGGAATTTATGCCTGTTATTAACTTCAATAGTTATTAATTGTGAGCTTTCTATGACAAGCAATGCAAAATGGTCCCAAAGCCGTATTTAGGAAGACAAAAATGATTGCACCCAAACCGTCTGTTTTAGGTATATAGTGTCTTCCGGAAAGTTTCTTCGTATTTTTGGCCGATCTTTTTATGTTAGTGAAATTAAGGTGATGCATAAAATTGGTGAATTGAAAATACAACTTTTTTATTATTTTAGATACAGTGTTCCAGAAAGTTGTAGAACAATCAATTTGAAGCAACTTTGCTGAAGACATCAAATTTCTATCTCTTATGGTTCATGAGTTATGATTATTTTAAACAATCAGGTTAGGGTGGCTCCTGAAAAAATTTGTTTTCTTTGAATATATTTCATACGTTCATTTCTCGTAAAAAAGTTGTTGTGGACACATTTAGAACTTTTGATGTGGCATATTTTTGCTGAAGTTAAAGTTAAAGGCGACTTTCTTCGAATAAATGGCTCTTTTCAGTTGTCAATATCTCTAAATAGAGATTTTTTTTTTTAGTCGATTGCTGTATTTTTGTATGGGCCCAAATTAGGGGCATTTAGGCCAACATTACATCCATTTCCACTACTTCTGTTGTTTGAAGATCAACAATTTTTCATAAAATTTTACGTACCCAAGATAGCAAACTTCTAGTATATGAAATAGCAAAAATGGTATCGCTGCGCCTTTTTTGTGGCAAAAATTTGAACTATTTTTATCTACTAAATCATAGCCCTACCCAATGATGCAAAATATCATGACACTCACGTGACACTCGTCTACGCATCAACCGACTATCGCTGACAGAACGTTTTGTCACGCAGTGAGAGGTAGAGCCATGGCAAACAACAATCACCAGTAATGGTCGCTGCTCACAAGTAAAACTTTACACTCGCTGCTGATGATGAAAAGCACAACGAAAACAGTGAAGACTTCTGCAGTACGATCATGAGAAAAAGCGAAACGACAGAAAAAAATGAAAACAACGCATGATACAACAACGCGTCAATATGATAGATGGCCATGGAGAGAGCTTCGACGAGCACATTGATAGGAATGTACAAAGCGTTACTACCATCAGCTGTTTGACGGTCGTGATTGTGATAGGTCGCAACTCTGGTCCTACGTAAGTCACGAAACTTTGCTGAATACATCAACTCCGGGGAACTTTGAAATTTGGGCGTAATTGCTTTTGTAAACAAACAAGTCAATCACCGATTTCTCGCGAACAAACTATGCCATTCTTTTAACTCATTGTGTTGTTAATTTTCGAGATTGAGCTTTAATTCGCGAAAAATCGGCGATTGACGTGATTGTTTACAAAATCAATTACGCCCAAATGTCAAAGTTCTCCGGAACTCAGATTCCCGGCCCATGTGTGTTGAATGGGTGCGATATACTACGCAGGTAACGCCCCGTAACGTGGGTAGATCACCTTTTCGTGGTACGTTACGGGATGTAAGATCTAGCACCGATTCCTAGTCCTGACTACTTCAAAACTAGGGGAACAGGATTTTTCAGTAATCCAAGGAACACATCTTAGTCCTTGTTACTTTTGAGACTCTGCTTTGTCTACCGAGGATGATCTTAAAACAAGGAAAAAATGAGTTAGTTGTCTTCATCTATGTGATTCCTAATCTTCTATTCGTTGTTCCTTAGTTTGAAGTGGTTAAGACTAGGCTAAGATTAAGACTGTTTCAACACTCCGAAGGGTATAAATAGCGGGACCTTTCAATTAGAGTCGGATCCTTGAGATAAATGCAAGAGTGGCAACTGTAAAAAAAAATCGAATACTTCATCATTTCTCAATAGTGATGGAGTAATACGACATGCACTAAACTAAGGACACGGGATATACTACAATAGATCGATTTACTGGTCGCAGTAGTGTTAGGTCCCGAACAAAGGAAAAAAAACTACGCAGGTGTGGAAAGCCGCCTTTCTGAACATTCGATTGCTGTCAATGGATGGCAATCGATATCCGTCGGGTATTGGCACTAGATTGCGGAACAGAGACCGACGTTAAATAAAGGAAAGAAGATCAGCTCAGAGTGTTTTATTTTTTTCCTTTTAGATTTCATTCCTGGCCCACTGTGCACTGTTCTCAAACTTATCATGTCACCGTCCACTGTTAGTGAGAGATTTTTTTTTCGGATTCCGTGGAAAAGAGCTAAAACATAAATGAACATTTGAACGTTATTTTTAGGATAACTAACTGATGATCTTTAATGGTTTCAGTAGTAGGGCGAGCGAGTCTCAGAGTCAAGTCTCAGAATGTTAACCAGAAATGCAAATCCGCGCCAAATCCACGAAAATCGCGAAAATCGAGAGATCCGCGTAGTCGTGAAATCCTTGAGAATCCTGGTTGGGTCTAAAGGCTTAGAAAATTCAATTAATAATCGATAAAGAGCTCAAAAAACATTAAGTAGTGAACCTGTGCAAAGTACTATGTCCAATAACGATGCAAATTGATTAATTAATAGATACCATCAATCAGTGATCAGTGGGATGTACTGCCATATTCCATGAAAAATACACACGAATTCCATCAAATGAAATGCCACAGCACTCAACACACCCCATATTTCTTATTTTTAATGAAGAATTTACAATCATCACAGCCCATCGTTAAGCGGCGCCGGTGGTGTAGTGGTAAGTGTGATTGCCTCTCACCCCAAAAGGCCTGAGTTCAGTCCCAGTCGGCACCGCCGGGATTTTCTGAGGCATAAAAATCTCTGCCGTTGGTCCCCGGTCCATGAGTTAGCTAGGGTCCAGGTGTAGAAGCTGTCTCCCTAGCGTTGGTAGCATCGGTACTCAGTACGGAAAACAAATCAAGAGAAACAAAATCACAGGCCATCGTTAGTGAGGCACGGCCGTACATTGTAAAAGCACCTAAAACACCGCGCGGCATACTAGATTCAGTGAATTTATCAGTATTGGATCATTGTTATTTCACATTATTATTTTTTTTTCAAGTGCAATATTTTTGTTGTTTCAGAGCATCCCTAGTTTTAATCTAAAAAAAAAACCTACATCTGATCTATCTGACCCCGTTTTACGGTACCCATTAATTTGCTCATAACGTCCATCTGGAGACGAACCGTGACCAACTTCATCGGAAATTTCATCTGATTGGAACGTGTTGAACGTCGAACATGACCAGACTCCAGCGATGCGCGTGCATCAGATATCCAGTTCAGTTTTAATTTATTTTTAATTTTAACATTGAACCGCAAAACAAATCTCGCAGTTTACCTAAGCTAGACACGACATCGCAAAATACGTCGAAGCATGCGAAGAATAGCA